ACACATTAACTTTGTGGGTGTCCTATTACCCCATTGATCAACTTCACAATAGTATTTATACCCCATTTTTCACCCAATACCACTTATACAAAAATATTTATAAGTCACACACTAATAGTCACTTGACACGTGTTAAAAGTAATTTTTAATTATTTTTATTGGATTTCTTTGCTTTTCTTTTTTTTTCTTTTTTTCTTTTTCTCTTTGTTATTCACCTCAACTTATGTTTTTCAGGTAGCCATTCCATCATTGTTGTTGTAACGGTCGTCAATCCCGCTGTAGCGGGATCGATTTCACAGTAACACTACAATTATTTGTCAAACTACCATCAATTGATTTATTTATGAAAATAAACAACGTCAAATAATCAAAATTTAAATACTCAAAATATCACCAAGTCAAAATTTGAAATTTAAATCACCACCTTCTGCAACTCCTTACTCCCAAATCGAGTTTTCCATGGTTTCACTACTCCCAAATCTCAATCTTGATTTGTAGGAAGAAAAAAATCACCGAACTAATTTGTTTTTTTAAAAAAAGAAGAAGAATAAGAATGAACAATTTTTTTTTTTTAAAAAAAGACCAGAAATGAAAAAAAAAATAAAAAAAAATGAAGGAAGACATGGATGCCCAAGAAATATGGGTAAGCTAATGATGGTAGGGAAGATGAGAAAAAAGATTTGAAAAAAGAGAAAACATAAAGTCACCACTTAAGTTGTCCCGAATTTTCAAAAAAGACACCTTAACTTTACGGGTGTCCTATTACCCCACGAAACCATTTCTAACAATTATAAATACATCATTTTAACCCATTCTTAGAGCAAGTGTCATCTCACATATTGGGGGCGCATGAATGGAAAAAAAAATCACCCTCAAACCAATCTAAAAATGCCACGTAGCAAGATTGTAAGCCTCCATTTTCTAAAAAAAATCAAGAAACAGAGGATTTCTTGGTCAATGTCTTTCATGGTGGTTGTTGAAGAACAGTTTAATATTTACTTAAGAATTCAAGAAGATTTTATACGATTCTTAAGTGAAAATCTTCACTATAATGTAAACAGTGAAAACGAAGGATTCCACAAAAATCTCATATTCAAAATCTTCCATTTTCCACCTCTGCAAAAACTCCATTTTAGCTCATTCCATCTTCGTCTTCTGCAACAACAACAAAAATTAGAGCTACAACGGTACGACACTAAAAGAACCCATCAATTGAAATTTCAAAATTATCTCAATGCCTTTGAATTCTTTCCTCAACAATGCAACAACTCGTCAAGACCATTTTCACGAACAATTTATATCTATTAAACCCAAATTAATTAATGCACCCATTTACATTGAAGTTTTTGAGTTTGTACTCACAACTTGTCTATGCTTTTGGACTTGACCCAGAAGATTTTGAGGATCAAAATGTGAGTGAGTTAGGATTTTACCCAATTCATTATTAAATCAGTAAGAAAAATAAAATTATATTATTTTATTTGAGGTGAAACACACGCACAAGCTATGAGATTATAAAAGTTATAAAAAAAGTGTATTTATAATTGTTGGAAAATAGTTTCGTGGGGTAATAGGACACCCGCAAATCTAAGGTGTTTTTTTTAAAAATATTTGGGACAACTTCAATGGTGACTTTATGTCTTTTCTCTTGAAAAAATAAAAACTATTCCTAATAAAGGTAAAAAAAATTAATTCATGGATTTATTTTTATTTTTTCTTCAAAATAAGTCAAATTGTGAGTGCCACATGACAATTTTACGTTGGTCTGAAGCTGTATTAAGAGTCCTTCACGCGCCCATATTTCGTGAAACACAAGTGGTGGTAAAATTAGTCAGAAGGGTATATTTATTGTGGATTTAGATGGTTTCGTGGGGTAATAGAACACCCGCAAAGTTAAGGCATCTTTTTGAAAATTCAGGACAACTTCAGCAGTGACTTTATGTCTTTTCTCAATAAAAATCAATATACAAAAATAGTTCTAAGAAATACAATTTAATTGTTCTCTTCACATGTTCATATGACATCTAAATAGTTTAACGTGGAATACATATGCAAAACACATCTGGTTAGATGGTAAGAAAAATATACAACAAATATCATATATAAGGTAATATTACTGAGATACGACTAATTGCATGATTGCACCTCATCAAATTGAAATAAATATATACATTATTGCATTGAACTAATAATTTTTTTCATTGACTATCTTCGTAGGTTCGCGTGAATAAGAGATATATATGACGATCAACATTGAACATTCACAAAAGAATCTACAATATTATTTTGTGCAAAACTCATTATTGAAATCTTCGCTTAAATAAGCAAAAACAATATACTATAACATATATTTTCTAAATTGATAATCACGTGCTTTGCACGTGTCGAAAAACTAGTATTTTTTTAAGAAGCAAAAATTTTTAGTTACTTCCCAACATCAGAAAAACTGCTTCTAATTCCATTTAAAAGCAGATTTACAAGTTTGCCAAACGCATAATTTTTTTTAAATGATTTTTTCTCAAAATAAGTGATTTTGGGCTTCTAATTCCATTTAACAATAGTTAAAAAAATGCTTTTGAAAGTCAAATTACGATAAAAAGTAAATATTAATATACTTTTAATATTAAGATTATTTTATAGAGAGAAACTAGTTTAAATTTCTATTACAAAAAAATAAATTAAATTTTTATTTTTATTAAATTAAAATATTCAATCAATATTATACATTTTTTTGGAGGGTTGAAATCTTTACTTGTTTTTTCTTCTTTTCTTATCTTGCAAAAATATTGTTGTTACCTTCTTTTTTTTCTAATTCTAAAAATAATATGTAAAATAATAATAATAATAATACATAAACGAAAAATAAAATATAAATTTATTATATAAATTTTTTTAAAAACTATTTTAAATAAAACTTATCTAAACATATGAGATATGTTAATTAATTAATAAGATATATATATATAGAAGGGATATTTTAGTCTTTAAAAAATAATTTTATGATTCTGCTTCGGTTTTTTTAAGAAGCAGAATTTTTTAGTTTCTTCCCAACATCAGAAAAACTGCTTCTAATTCCATTTTATAGCAGTTTTACAAGTTTGCCAAATGCATACTTTTTTTTAAAATGATTTTTTCTCAAAATAAGTGATTTTGGGCTTCTAATTCCATTTAACAATAGTTAAAAAATACTTTTGAAAGTCAAATTATGATAAAAGGCAAATATTAATATACTTTTAATATTAAGATTATTTTATAGAGAGAAACTAGTTTAAATATCTATTACAAAAAAATAAATTAAATTTTTATTTTTATTAAATTAAAATATTCATATTCAAATTTTCAATCAATATTATACATTTTTTTGGAGGGTTGAAATCTTTACTTGTTTTTTTCTTTTCTTATCTTGCAAAAATATTGTTGTTACCTTTTTTTGTTCTTTCTAATTCTAAAAAATAATACATAAAATAATAATAATACATAAATGTAAAATAAAATATAAAATTTATTATATACAAATTTTAAAAAACTATTTTAAATAAAACTTATCCAAACATATGAGATATGATAATTAATTAATAAGATATATATATATATATATATATATATATATATATAGAGAGAGAGAGAGAGAGAGAGAGAGAGAGAGAGAGAGAGAGAGAGACAGAGAGAGAGAGAGAGAGAATTGATAATTTAGTCTTTAAAAAATAATTTTATGATTCTGCTTTTGTTTTTTTTTAAGAAACAAAATTTTTTAGTTTATTCCAATAACAGAAAAACTGTTTCTGTTTCCATTTAAAAATAGTTTTACAAGTTTGTCAAACACATAATTTTCAAAAAATATTTTTTCTCAAAATAAGTGATGTTCGGGTCCTAACAACAATGTCAAAAAGGCTCTAAACCCCTATTTTAGAGTGATGAATATCTATTCATAGGTCCACATAATATTCATGTAACATGAATTCTATACACACAATTGAATCAGAGAATTCTTGGTGACATACATAATATATAGTTGAACCATTCTATTTTTATAATATCAAACGATTATTATGTTCAAATTTCCTTCTTATAAATAATCATTTTCATATTGTGTTGTTGTTAGGAAAAAGAAAAAGAGATAATGAACAAATTGTTTATTGACCACCCAAAATGTTATCATTATTTGGAGTTTGAAGTTAGTCAAAGAATATAAATTTAATAATTTGAATTTATTAAAATGCTGCAGCTGCACGTTTAAGCAAGCACTCTTTTCATTTTTCGAAAAATTGATCATAATTAGAGCATATGCAGGCATCACATGGCCTAGCTGGACAAACAGATAGGTTCGACTTTCAATAAGTAGCAACTATTTGTATAGTTTTTATTTGTCAAATATTTTTTTAAATTGATTTTTGATAAATCAAAAAAGAATAATTTTTTTTGTTATATTCTCAATTTATTACTCTCTCCATTTAACAATAGTTATGCACTATACTATTTTAGATATCTAATAATATTTTTTCATTTTATAAAATTAATGAATAATTTTATATTTAGTTCCTAATTTACATTAATCGTTAATTATAGTTATTTTCCTATTATATTTTTTAAGACATTGAATTTATTATATTTAAAGGATGATATAATAAAATTATACAATTTTTTAAGAACGATGTAAAATCAAGTGGACAAATATTATTGGACAAAGAAAATAACAATGAGTTAATCTTGTAAAAAATAATATTTTTAAGACTATCAATTAATAAAAACAAAATGTTAAATTCATTATACCAATCATTTTATTATTTTAATACATAGACAAATCAAAATTTGAAAAGCAAAAAGTAACGTATTTTAGATTAGAGAAATTAGAAGTAAAATGATAGAGAGAATGAAATTAATTATGCAAAATGAGTGTATTTTAAGGAAAAAGAGAGGGCACTGAACAAAGCTACCAAATAGCATTAATTAGCAATGGTGAGATTTTCTTACATTTTCATCATGCCTTAAATTCTCTCTCTCTCTCTATTAATGGATGTTTAAGGGTTTTGGTTGGAGTTGAGTGTTGGAATCTTATGGTCAGAAGTGAACAACTGGGTATTTATTTAGTGAGTTGGAATTGGAATTGGAGGAGTTGACCTAAATTTATTGTCTCATTTGGGAAACAATACTACTTATTTGATTCTCTCGTCTTTCTTAACTGAGAGATTTGTGAAGTAGGTATTTGCTGGTTTTGAGGTGCATTTTACTGGATCTGCGCAAGTTTGTTGTTGGTGAAGCAGCTCAAGAAAGGAGTGGATGAATTAAGGGTGGGTTTGTAACAGTCGGAGGAGATATGGCATGTATGAAGTTGGGATCCAAAACAGATGCATTCCAAAGAAAAGGCCAGGCCTGGTACACTTTTCTTCTTTCTTTCTAACCATTTTCAATAAACCTCTAATTGGGGTTTTATTCTGTCAAATTGTGCTCCCCATACTTTTGTTATCACCTAAGGAAGAGCATCAAACAGTAACTGTCATGGGGGGAACAAATAAAAACTGGAACTTGGACGGAAAACAAACCGTATGGTTTACTCAAATCTTTTTGAGCAAAAGAATATGATTGTATTAGCCAACATATTTAGGTTAGATTAGAGTTTTTTCCATCAAAAACTAGTGTGTTGCATACCAACCATGTAGACCCTAAGAAGCCTATATATAATTAGACAATGAGCTGTAGGTATCAACATCTTCTTCTCCGTATTTTCTGTGATTCGCACAATTCCAGGCTCGACCATTGAATCAGTTCAGCTCTCACCATTGCTACATACAGACGCAGTGGGGCAAATTACACGAGGAATTGTAGAAATGTACAGAGAAACAAGGAGAGCAAATCGATGTCCAAGTTTTTGACAGAATTTTTTGTAATTACTTGCTATTTCTTTTGAGGCCTATTCTTTAATACATTCTTCCTAGAAGAGGATAATGAGGTTGGGTGCTCTTAGATTGTATGGTCTTGTTTTGCCCTGGCATGGTCATGGCTTAAGGTGGTAGATTACTTTTCAAATTTTACAACTTGCCTTTTGTTGGTATGTTTGTAGGTTCTGCACAACTGGCCTCCCAAGTGACATTGTTGTTGAAGTTGGGGAAATGACTTTCCATCTCCACAAGGTAAAGTTCTCTGCAAGACTTGATTGATCTTGTGATGTATAGACCAACTGCTGTATTGCTACTTCTCTTTCTTCTGCATATGAATGATGCTTCGTTAAATTGTCTATTCAAATGTCCTTCCATTTGCCTTAGATTTCTGCTAACAGTTCTCGTCGCCCTTGGGTTGCTCTCAAGTACACCTTATTCATGCTTGTTAACTAAAACAGTTATTCTTTCTTCACCGTGTCTTTTTAGTACTTCCAAGATGCTTTCTGCTTCTATATTTGATGAAATTAGGCAAAAGTGACATACTTTGTCACCTTATAATGACCTGTTGTTCTCTACTTTAGTCTCTCCAAGCCAGCTTTTATGCTTTCAACCAATGGTAATGTTCCAAGACAAAAAAGGTATCAACTTTATCAAAGTTTTGGCCATCTCTACATTTAAAAAACACTGTAAATCGTTCCTGAGCACAATTTCAAATTAGTTTGATTGTATGGAGTTCCTTAAAGCTTGTCAGATCTAATTTGAAATTTGATTGCAAGGAAGATGATTGAACTTTTAGATTTGTCTCTTTTTTAATGTTTTCCAATGAATAATTGCAGTTCCCATTGCTTTCTAGAAGTGGCGTTATGGAAAAACGGATTGCAGAAGCATCTGAAGGAGAAGATGGCTGTGTTATTGAACTCAATGACATCCCTGGTGGTGCTAAAACATTTGAACTTGTAGCTAAATTTTGTTATGGGGTTAAACTAGAGCTTACAGCAGCAAATGCTGTATACCTTCGATGTGCCGCAGAGCGTCTTGATATGACTGAAGAATATGGGGAGGGTAATCTGATATCACAGACTGAGATTTTTCTTAATCAGGTAGTTCTCCGTAGCTGGAAAGACTCTTTGAAGGCACTCCAAACCTGTGATGATGTTCTTCCATATGCTGAAGAACTCAGAATTACAAAAAGGTGCATTGATTCATTAGCTGTGAAGGCATGTACTGATCCCAACCTGTTTGGTTGGCCTGTGATGGAGCACATTGGCCCCTTGCAGAGTCCTGGAGGGAGTATCCTATGGAATGGAATAAGCACTGGAGCTAGGCCAAAACATTCAAGTTCAGATTGGTGGTATGAGGATGCATCAACTTTAAGTTTACCTCTTTACAAGAGGCTAATTTCTGCTATGGAATCTCAAGGTGTCAAACAGGAAATTGTTGCTGGTTCCCTCAATTATTATGCTAAAAAGTACCTGCCTGGGCTAAACAGGCGGCAGACCTCTTCTGAGTCCACTAATCGACTTGCACCAGTTGGTTTAGGTTCTTCGCTATCAGAAGAAGATCAGAAGCTTTTACTTGAAGAGGTGGATAATTTACTTCCCATGCAAAAAGGCCTAGTTCCAACTAAATTCCTCTTTGGCCTACTGAAAACAGCCTTGATTCTTCGAGCCAGTCCCTCTTGCATATCAAACTTGGAGAAAAGGATAGGAATGCAGCTTGATCAGGCCACTCTAGAAGATCTCTTAATGCCTAATTTCTCTTACTCGATGGAAACACTTTATAATGTTGACTGCGTACAGAGGACTCTTGAGCACTTCTTAGCCATGGATCAAGGAACTGGTGGTGAATCACCTTGTTCCATTGATGATGAGCAATTGATTGGTTCACCATCTCTGACACCAATCACTATGGTGGCAAAACTAATCGATGGATATCTTGCTGAGGTTGCCCCAGATGTTAACTTGAAGCTTCCCAAGTTTCAGACTCTTGCTGCTTCTGTTCCTGAATATGCAAGACCCTTGGATGATGGCCTTTATCGTGCAATTGACATTTATCTCAAGGTAAATTTAGTTTGCTATTCTTTTTTAAGTTATGATAATTGTGTGTACTCTGAAGTAAATGTTGTCACTATTGCTATGCTTACTGAAATTTTCACTTAATATTGAGATCCTATTTAAGTTTGACCCAAGAAGCCTTAGATTAAAGTGGCTTGCTTGTATGGGCATGTCTAGTTAGGTGCAGCAGTCTAGTGATTGAATACCCCACCACCAGTGCCGGGGTGGGGGCATGAAGAAATCGAGATGAATGACCACTGAAAGTAAATATGAATATAGGCTCCAAAGAAAGCGATTTTCTTTGAGTTTTGGTTCAGATCTTTCATTTCAGAATGTAAATCTTTTATAACTACATACCCAGTGTAGTTCCACAAAGTGGGGTAGAGATTTTAAATCTTTTATTATTCTTTTGTTTATGCAGTCACATCCATGGTTGGGAGAATCCGATAGAGAACAACTCTGCAGGCTCATGGATTGCCAGAAGCTCTCCTTAGAAGCTTGTACACATGCTGCACAGAACGAACGGCTCCCTTTAAGGATTATAGTACAAGTACTTTTCTTTGAACAGCTGCAGTTGAGAACATCCATTGCAGGATGCTTCCTAGTGTCCGAAAACCTTGATGATGGGTCAAGGCAGTTGAGAAGTGGCACAGTGGGACCAAATGAGGGGGGCTGGGCTACTGCTGTGAGAGAAAACCAGGTGTTGAAGGTGGGAATGGATAGCATGAGGGTACGTGTGTCAGAGCTCGAGAAGGAGTGCTCAAACATGAGGCAGGAGATTGAGAAGTTGGGTCGATCAAAGGGATCAAGCACTTGGGGAAATGTATCCAAGAAGTTTGGGTTCAAGATGAAATCTCAAATGTGCAGTGCTCAGGAGGGATCTGTTAGTAACCAGAACAAGATAAATAGTAAGGCTATAAAGGATGACAAGGCAAAAGAAAACTATCGAAAGCACTAGAAAAACTTGTCTACAGATGAATGATGAATTATTCTCTGTTTCTCTATTCTTTGAAGGATCTTGGCTTGCTTCTGTTTAGTTTTAAGTCTCTCCAGTTTCTTTGTCATATATGTTGATTAGGTTCTTTGACAATCTGGTCTATGTAGACTACATACAATTAACATCATCAAGTGTATTTTATGTATCTTATTTAAAATCGTTCGTCACTCTTTTTACCTTCAACAATAAGTGCAAACATCTAAATTGCCCAAATTCATCTGTTGTAGTGTGAGTTGTGTGAATGAAGAACTTTTGCTTTCATATTTGTCGTTGCGAATGTTGCAAGGTACACTGATTTTGAAACCTCTGCCTACTTGGTCTTGGTGTGAGAACGTATTTTCATCCAAGAATTTCTTTTTGGAAAAATCCTTTTGTTATCTCTAGAGAACCTAAGGCCTGCCATAACCCTCAATTTTGCATACTCGTTTTCCAGCTCCAGAGGCTGTTCAACTTCTCGTTTCGGGATATAGTTGTCTCTAATTGTTTGTGCATTTTGACAAATTAAGAAAAGATTATTTTTTTTACCTATTATACCCTTAATTAATAACTTTGAAAAATGTAGAACTTTTTGAAAATCTTAAATTTTAATTCATTCACTTCATATTTAATATGGGTAAAATGGTTAATTCACTATGTCAATAATTATTTTCTTAATAGGTGTGTCAATTCAAAAGTGGACAAATAATTAGGGACAGAGTGAGTAATAAATACAATGTCTTGAAAAATGTAATAAGGAAATAACAATAATTAATGATAAAGGTAAATTAGGAACTAAGTGTAAAATTATTTATTGATTTCATAAAGTGAACAAATACTGTGGACATCCCAAAATAGTATAATGAACAATTATTGTTGGACGGAGGGAGTATTAACACAACACACACATGCAACACATGCACTAAATTAGTGTGTATATATATATATATATATATATATATCTAAAAGCAGGAAGCTCCAAAGATGAAAAGTTGGATTGCCATTTTTGCCCTACACTAAATTAAATATCTATTTAGTAAAATATTAAATAAAAATATTTTAATAATTTTTGAATTGTAATTTATTTACATTAGAAAGAAACCGAAAAAATCATTAATTAAATTGTTAGTTACAATGAATTGTTTAATATACAAATTCATTTAGGAAAATTAAAGGGTTCTTGTCAATTGAGTTGGATCATCATTTTATCCCTACTCTAAATTAAAATGTTATAGTATATTTAATTAATTAAATAGTAATTACATCATATTATACTAATACTGAATATTATCATCATATTATATTATATTAAAAATGGAAAGCTCCTATTTTTAAAGTCACAATAACGATTTTACCCCCGTATTACATCAATTTTGAAGTTATTGGATTACTATAGAAATTTTTTTGTTATATATGAGATTATATATTTTAGAGGTTTAATCCAAATTTTGAAGTTATTTGTCTAATGTAGTGTTGCATCGCATGAAACACATTGATTTTAATAGCTTGTCATGTTACATTTGATATTATATATACACAATTTTACTAATTATTTATGTTAAATTCAAAGATGAAATGGCTCAGAAGTTTAAATCGTAATCTTCCCTTTCAAAATTCATATAACTCATTGCATTTAATCTAATATTGTTTTTATTTTTAAAAAAGTACTTAGTGTGAAATACACGTACAACACACGTGTTCGAGAACTAGTTATATTAAAAGCATGAAGGTCCTTAGAAATACTGATTGAACTTTTTTTCCTTCATTAAAAGACTTTTTAATAGATAAATTTGTCATTTATTATTTTTCTCAAATTATTATTTAATTTTATTAAATTCATGTAATTAGTTTTCCTTCCCTATCTTTATTTAGGAGTTTGTACCGTCGCGTTTAGGTTTCTTTGTTTATAATTTTTTTGTTTTAGGTTTAAGATTCAACTTACAAGCTTTTAGTCAAAACTTAAGATCCTTCTAGTAAGTTTGGTAAGTTTGTCTTCTCTAGTCTAGAGGGGTCGTTTGGTAGAGTGTATTAGCAAAAATAATGCATGCATTAGATTTGTGCATTAATAGTACCTTGTTTGGTATATTGTTTCATGCTATGTATAACTAATACACTTCATTGTGTATTGAGGAGTGTATTACTAATATTATGAAATTGTAGGTATTAGTAATGCAAAGGAACTCAATACATGCATTAGCATGGTTAAAGACTCAATTAACCCTTTAAATCCCTTTACATCTTTTCCACCATAATTATGAAGACTATTTTTGTAAATAAATATTTTATGCAATGCATTTTTTTTTAATACACCAAATCAAACAATGCATAAAAAATAATCTATGTATGATTAATGCAAGCATAACTAATACAAGCACCACTAATACACTCTATTTTTATACACCCTACCAAACGACCCTAATTGTTTTAAGGGAAAAGGGTCAAAAATGCCCTTTAACTATGCGAAAGGAACAAAAATGCCCCCCGTTTATAGTTTGGCTCAAAAATGTCCTTACCGTCAATACTTTGGTCCAGAAATGCCCCTATAGTTACAAAATGGGTCAAAAATGCCCTTTTCCGAATAAATATTTTTTTTTCTTTTTAAACACACCTTCTTCCTAATTAAAATATTATTAAAGAACACTATTCTTGTTTTCTTTTTTGTAAAATCACTTTAACAAATAAAAATGTAGGAAATATTTTTTTTCTTCTTAATCTCATTATATCAATTAAAATAGAATAACTTCATGTACCATTTGGACATATAAGTTAGCTGTTTGTTGTGATTATCTTTTTTATTTTTTGATAGGACATAGTTAGCCTAAGCAGAGATGACTATACTCGCAAACCAGAGGATTTACTAAGTAAGGGTATGTATGGACCACCTTCAAGATAATAGGTCAAACAAAAAAATGGCAAGACAAAAATAGCATGCACTACCAGATGAGCATCCACGGGTGGTGGGTAATTTCCATCAATTGTATCTATCCAGCTAAATATTAGGTTGTGGTAACCATAAGATTTTCCTGCCATGCTTCGTGCATATTCCCAAGCAGCAGTCTCGTTAAACTTGGCTCGGAGATCAGGGTGCAAAGGCAGCACTGCAATATGTGGATTGGTGTCAGCACTGCACCATTCTTTTGATCCTTTTCCCTATATTATATGTCCAAATGGTACATGAAGTTATTCTATTTTAATTGATATAATGAGATTAAGAAGAAAAAAAATATTTCCTACATTTTTATTTGTTAAAGTGATTTTACAAAAAAGAAAACAAGAATAGTGTTCTTTAATAATATTTTAATTAGGAAGAAGGTGTGTTTAAAAAGAAAAAAAAATATTTATTTGGAAAAGGGCATTTTTGACCCATTTTGTAACTATAGGGGCATTTCTGGACCAAAGTATTGACGGTAAGGGCATTTTTGAGCCAAACTATAAACGGGGGGCATTTTTGTTCCTTTCCCATAGTTAAAGGGCATTTTTGACCCTTTTCCCTTGTTTTAATCATAATACACGGTAGTATTCAATTGTTGACATTCAATGCCGCATGACCTTGAAATCATGAATGCCATTTTCACAGTGAATAATTTAGTGAAATTTCACAAGATGGTTCATTTTAATCCCGACTTGGGCTAGTGGAAAAAATTACAGATTTTAATAAGATAATATGATAATATATTTTCGAAAGACCCTTTATGTAGATATATATGGTCCCATTAATATTATAAATTAATAATTCTCTAAACTTACAAAAATGTCTATTGCAATTTAGCGAAATATAATTTTAGTGCTTTCTGTATTTTGTTAAAATTTAAATCTAGTTAAAGTTCATCTCTAACTTTTCTTAGTGCATCCAAAAGTTTTGGTGTCGTCTTCTTGAACTTCACCAAAAGAACATGAAGAGTTCTAGATGCGATAAGTGCTTCCTTACCCTGTAACTCCTTCCAAATGTATTATATCAACGTCAACTTCATCATTAACATTGTTTTCTCCGTTGGTATCCACAATTTCTTTCAAACTCTGAACCTTTAAACATGTATCATATTCATACATGTAACTGAAAAGTCAATTGACATCCATTTTATTGCAATAACTTAGATTATTAAGCATGACCTCAAGTTCATGAATGCTGTTTTTACTTGTCACACCCCAACTAGAATGGAGCGAACATTGAGGATTTATACAAGCACCAACTAATTATCTGTACTAAAATCATCTCAAAGTTGTCGGCTCATAAGCAATGGAATATATACCAAGACACATACTAAAACATAGATAAAAAAAGGTCCCACTAGACTACTTTACAACGGAAATAAAATTAAGTCTAAGAAGCCTATAAAGAGTATGTATTTGAGAATCTGATAACTATTCGCTTTTCTGATTGATAAATAAAATAATAGAATTAGGAAATCATCTATTTAGAATAATAACTTTTTGTTGACAAAAGAATAAAGATTATTTCTATTTTAAGGTGGGGAGTTTTATTTTCCCCATCGACCTATTTGCAGAATAAAGTGCAAATAAAATTTTATATTTGCATATCTATAGAAGAACGTATATAAAAATCTTTAGTGAAAGTTAAGAATTCATTGAAAGTAATTAATTCTATTTTGAAACCTTTTTGTTTTCTCGAACTTTCTCAGTTTTAATTTTCTCTGAATTATTATATAGACCCGCATGTATATCTTGCGCTTAACCCAATAGAGAAAATTGCTTAATGAAATTTTGTATGACTAATTGTGAATTTTTAGCGATGCAAAATTAACTAGTCGAGACAGGAATCTGACATATGTACATACACAGTAAAATAAAGGTTCTAAATATCTGATAGCTCCAAGTAGGGATGAAGCTTACCAACTGCTAAATTGGAAGTCTCTGGTCTACTAGAAAATATTTGTTCTCCTAAGTACCTGAGCCTATATTGGTAGAAATGTGGCGCCACAAAAATAGAGACGTCAGTACATATAAAACATGTACTGGTAGTAAAGCAGACTGAATAACAAGTAGACATGTAAGAATGCTCAAATAAATTAAATATCAGGATAGGTATATCTGAGCATATGTATGCAGGAAACATAATCCAAAACTAGAATTATGACCAATCTAAAGGGTCCTCATCCAACATTTCATGGCTCATTAATTATATACATAAAATTCCTATAATTTGCCTAAGTGATATCCTTA